GCACCGGGGGACTGTACGGGCGTGGCGGGGGTGAGGACTAGGGGTGGAGCACACGGCCAGGATCTGCCCTGCCAAGGCTTGCAGGGAGCCGGGCAGACGCCCCCGCGGGGAACGCGGCCCCTGCAGGTCCGGGCAGGCGGCGGAGGGGAACTAGGACCAGGCTCCTGCCCAGGACCAGGCGGCCGGCAGAAGCTCGTGATGAGACCGAGCAACGGGGCGGAAGGGCCTGCTGACCCGGGTGGGGACCGAGGGACCACAGCCCTGCGCCAGGAAGGGCCGAGTGCGGGGCCGGGACGCGGCCCGGCCAGCTCTGCCCACCCCCCTTCAGCAGCCCTGGCCGTGTGCGCCCGAGGCCGGTGGGTGTGCGCACGCTGAGCACTCGCGGACTGCTGGGTTCTCTCGAATGGGAACAGCCACGCGGGCGCAAGCCAGGCCACGGGCAGTGTTCAAAGGCCTCGCCTCGAGGAAGGACATCCCAAGTGTCATCAGCTAGGGCACTATTTACGTAAATGCCAAGCCTGAGACAGCGTCTACAGGGCTGGAGAGTGAGTTCCCAAGAGCCACAGCTGCAGCACCAGCACCGCAGGGTGCCTGCTCACCTTGTGCTAGAGACTAGAGGCAGCCCAGGACAGCCCTGATGTCTGGCCTCCGCCCTCTCTACCCCTTCTGGGCTCCTGAAATGTTTCCTTCCGAAGCAAACAGAGGGAAGAAGGTTCTGAGGAGGGGCTCCCCTGCCCCCAGGTCACCTGGCCCGAGCTGGGCTACTGCTCGCTGTGCTGGGGATGAGGATGCAGCCGGTGGTCGGTGGTTGGGGCCAGGTGTGGGCGAGCTGTCAGCCTGGTAAGCGCCGAGCCATGGACGTCCTGCTGGCTACTGGCCAGTCAGTGCTGTGGCACTGCATGCTGCTGAGGGCATGGCCTTTTCAGAGCTCAGACATCTCTCCTGGCACGTGTCCCTCCCCTAGAGGCAGCCGAGGACCAGGACCAGCCACCATGCCTCCCCGTTGTCCTGGCCTGGTGGTCAGGCAGAAGCTGCAGCTCTCGGCCTAGAGGTGGAGGGCTGTCGGCAGGGTGGTTGCAAGAGGGTGGGCACAGGGCTGTCTGCGTGGTGAGGAGGGGCCCTGCGAGGCTAGAGTTTCCCGGTAAGTGATGGGAGGGTGTTTGGGGACAGTAGCTGTGGCAGGGCCTGCACAGCTGTCCAGAGCAGCAGAGCCCGGACGCCGTCCATGCTGTCCCTGGTCAGTAGCAGGACCTGGCCTGAAAATAATCAGCAGCTCTGGGACTGTCCTGGGAAAATAATCAGCAGCTCTGGGACTGCCCTGGCAGCCGGCGGTGAGCACGGTGAGGGGCAGGAGCTCCTGCACAGTGGCTGCTTCCTCAGAGGAGCTGCTGGGCCCCCACTGTCCTGGGCAGAGCCTGGGCCTGCAGCCGCTGCCCCCCTGCCCAAGGCCCAGGCAGCCTCTCTGGACGCTGTAAATGCAGGGCTGGGTCTGCACATGCTGGGAATGGTGCATGGGGGTGGCTGTGAATGGAGACAGTCCCTACGTGCAGGACAGCGAGGGACAAGGAGGGCGTGGAGCAGAGCAGAGGGCGAGGAAGAAGGCACTGGGGTGGGTCTCGCGAAGAGGACGGAGCCGGAGGAGCCTTCAGCTGGGTGTCAGGAGAGAGTCCAATCACTGACGTAAAAAATGAAGATGGGAGCTGCCCCTGGCCTGGCGGTGCTTAGTCCCAGCCCAGTAGCTTGAAAACACGCATGTCCCAAATCTGACAGGGTGGCGGGGAAGGGGCTGCATGACCACTCCATGAGGTGCTCTGTCTCTGGAGAGGCACCTGCACTCTGGCAATTAAAAAAAATGAAAGCAGGGACATGGCTGCCGATTTTACGAAAGCAAGGATTACAAGAGGGAGCTCTGAACAAGTGTGTCCCAAACTGGGCGACCTTGCTGAGACAGACAGCCAGACGGGGGCTAACCGAGACTGAGCCGAGAGGAAATCGGAGGTCCGAAGACCGAGCAGTGACAGGTTGACTTGGCGAGGAGCCTCCCACAGGGGAGCACTATGCCTGATGGCTCCTACAGCCTACAGAACGTTTAAAGAATTAACGGCAGTTCTTGGGCTGGCAGGTGGCCAGGTGTCATGGTGGTTAGGGATGCTGGACTCCCACATGGCCAACCAGGGTTCAAATCCTGGACCTGGCAACTTGTTCTCTCTCTCACTCTGTTCCTCTGGTCAAATTAAAATAAATAACCTCACGCCGGGCGCGTGTACGTGCGTGCCCAAGATCCTGAGAGGAGAATGGAGGAGAGGGGATTGTGGCGTGGCCATCCCCACTGGGGGTGATTTCTCGCTTTCTGTCTCTCTGTCTTTCTGGCAAGTGCAGGCGCCCTATAACAAAAACCTCTCCAAAAAAAAAAAAATTAAAATAAATAATGAATTTAACTTTATTTATTTTAATTTTATTTTATTTATTCATTCATTTATTTTAATTTGATCAGAGAGAGAGAGAGACACACACAGAGACAGGGAAAGTGAGAAAG